CAGAAACCTCCCCATGATTATTCTCAACAACTTCCCAAGTTTATGGCGATCGGATGAAATATGTAGTAATGCATAAGACACACACACACAGAGACAGACAGACAGACAGACAGACAGACAGACAGACAGACAGACAGACACACACACACACACACACATATATATATATATGTATATATATATATATATATATATATATATATATATATATATATATATATATATATATATATATATATATATATATATATATATATATATATACTTTTTTAGATAATCTCCAACTAAACACAATAAACTAACTTTAATCTGCACCAACACCCCCACTCCCATCTTACATCAACGCCCCACTCTTCAACGCCACATTACAAAGAGCGCCACATTTTTGCTTGGTTTTCTTACCACCTGTTACTGATACTCGCACAAAGGATTAGCTCCCCTGCCGCCCTAGTTACGGCCGGTGCCCATTGCACGCTCTTGTTGCATGTTTCAGCCCCATGCATAGCTTTGATGGCAGCTGGTGTGGCCCAAATGCTTGCTTATCTAATTAGAAGAAAATAATTGCTAGTGAATGGCGACCTTGTTTTGAAAGTAGTTTTCTGGTAGATTTAGTTCTCATCTTTGTGTGAGCGGCTGGAGTGTGTTTGTCTGTTATTATAATTATTTGTAACTAAGAAGGCGAATGTCGCTTTTTATGTTCCTTTGAGGATTGTTGTGGTTTTTAGTTAAGTAGTCCGCTATTATGGCGCTGATATGATTTCGATTTTACAATGGTTTGTAGCCTGGTTATTGTGTCTTGTTTATATTTTAATGTTATTATTTATGCAAACTTTGTTTTGGATTGTTGCTCCACTTTGCTTTATGTCCTGGATGTTACTTATTATTGTATTAGGGACTATTTTCTTGTGCGTAGCATTGGTTTCTTTGTTCGTAGTATTGGTTTCTTTGTTCGTGAATGTGGTGTGTCGACATGGAGGGACATTCTGCTGGAATGTCGAGGCCTGTGTGTTGAAGAGTTTCTGTGTCACGTTTATGTGGTGTATGGACGGTGGTCCGAAATTGGGTGTTTTGTTTCGTTGAGTTCTGTTTGTTTTGTATGTCTTGAGTGTTTTATTTTGTCTAGATCTAGATTCTAGTTTTTTTATAATAACTTTTGGTTCCATATTTATTATTTTGTGAAATTAATTTTATATTATTGTTAAAGTTTTTTTGTTTTTAATTTAGACTAAGGTTAGGTTATTAACCAGCCTGGGTTTAGCCGGGCTTGCACTGACCGGACAGTAGTAGTAGATAAGTCTAGGGAAGGGTAAGATAGATTTTAAGGTATCCCCCCCTAGCAGGGCTTACAAATTGGTAGCACGAGTGGGGTCAGTGCTTTAGTCTAGTTAAATTTTTGTTTTTTTGCTAGGACTAGTGTAGCTTAGATAATTTTTTTTTCTTGATAGGCCCTTTATGGAACCATATGTGTTTAGTTTTTGTTTAGTGTAGGAACCGTTTGTTGTTTAAAACACCCAATTCGGACGAGATGGCGGAGGTGGCACCAACCATCATCATCGTTCCACCCAGGGAGATCCTCATCAGGAAGTTTCATGGGGACAGCCAGGGCTATGAGGTGGACCGGTTCATCAAAGAGGTCCAGTCCCTCTGGAGGGCCAGGGGAGACCTCTCAGTAGAAGAGAGGAAGGACCTCCTCTGGCAGTACTTGGGGGAAGCGGTGAGAGAGGAGCTGAGCTGCAGGGGTGATGACCTGCAGCATGACCCAGAAGCCACCCTCAGGCTCCTCAGAGAGGTGTACGGCGAGAAGAGGAGAGTACCGCAGCTCATGGCCCAGTTTCAGATGGTTGTACAGGGCCAACACGAGTCGGTGAGGGCCTACTCGCACCGACTGCACAGGGCCTTCAAGACCCTGGTTACGAGGCAGAGTGCCCTGCAGGTCCCACAGACTGATGCAGGGTTTCTTCGAGACCAGTTTGTGGAAAACCTGAGCCAGGCCACAGTCAGACGCCATCTGCACGAGCTGATTTTCCGGGACCCTAAGATCCCCTTCCTGGCCATACGGGATGCGGCCATTCGATGGTCTGGAGACGAGGACCCTCTTGCTGAACCTGCCTACGTGGCAGCAATAGATGCCAGGCCAATTGGAAAATGTTCGTTCAGGTCCAAGCTGGAGGACAAAGTCAACAGGCTCACAGAGCAGCTTGCTGCTCTGCTGAAGCACTTTACGCGGGGCACCAAATTGTCCAATGTGCGCCAAGCACCTCGCAAGCGCACGGAGGTCCAATCAAAGGGCTGCTATAACTGTCACCAGAGGGGTCACCTCGCCCGTCATTACCATATGGCCAAGAAATATGTGCCCAAAGGGAATCAAGTGACACCGAAGGTATGGCGAGGGGACAAGGTCCTCCGCCCCCGCGAAAGGACTCTGGTGCCTGCCAAGAGTGTACCAACCATTCAGGCGACGGAAGGAGACCCCAGAATGAAGGACGACAAGGTGGTACAGCCATTAGACCAACCTTTTCACCCAGATCCGTCAGTGGTATCAGGCCCAACATCCTGCCTACGCGCCAGCATAACCAGTGTAAAGGTGGACCAATCTGAGGAACTAGAGGCAATGGTTCCACCTAACCCATCCTTAATTAAGGCACCGGGTGGTGGTGCTGGGGCATGCCCCCAGACAGAGTCAAGCAAGAAGGACAAACAGGTCAAAAAGGCACCTGTAGCTGAACTGGCCATAGGCGACCTGGTCCTTCTGAGACAACCCCCACTTGGCAGACGCAAAATAGCAGACCTGGACGGCCCGACGGTTTATGTCGTGGTCGAATTACCTCCGATCACCGGCGGGTGTTACGCCATTAAAAAGAAAGATGGCCCTTCTGGCACCCGCCGGGTGACGAGCACACAGATTAGGAGATATGTGCCTCCCAAGGCTCAACCGCCCTCCCCAAGGCCGGTCAAAGTTGTACCGCCGGCTGCTACAGCCACATCGTCTGATTTTTTTGCAAAGTTTTTGTTTTTGTAAAATTATGATTGTGCCCTGTGGGCTGATTTTTTTCAAGTTATTTGGCTTGCGGTGACCGCAAGCTTTAAGGGGCGTGTATGTGAGCGGCTGGAGTGTGTTTGTCTGTTATTATAATTATTTGTAACTAAGAAGGCGAATGTCGCTTTTTATGTTCCTTTGAGGATTGTTGTGGTTTTTAGTTAAGTAGTCCGCTATTATGGCGCTGATATGATTTCGATTTTACAATGGTTTGTAGCCTGGTTATTGTGTCTTGTTTATATTTTAATGTTATTATTTATGCAAACTTTGTTTTGGATTGTTGCTCCACTTTGCTTTATGTCCTGGATGTTACTTATTATTGTATTAGGGACTATTTTCTTGTGCGTAGCATTGGTTTCTTTGTTCGTAGTATTGGTTTCTTTGTTCGTGAATGTGGTGTGTCGACATGGAGGGACATTCTGCTGGAATGTCGAGGCCTGTGTGTTGAAGAGTTTCTGTGTCACGTTTATGTGGTGTATGGACGGTGGTCCGAAATTGGGTGTTTTGTTTCGTTGAGTTCTGTTTGTTTTGTATGTCTTGAGTGTTTTATTTTGTCTAGATCTAGATTCTAGTTTTTTTATAATAACTTTTGGTTCCATATTTATTATTTTGTGAAATAAATTTTATATTATTGTTAAAGTTTTTTTGTTTTTAATTTAGACTAAGGTTAGGTTATTAACCAGCCTGGGTTTAGCCGGGCTTGCACTGACCGGACAGTAGTAGTAGATAAGCCTAGGGAAGGGTAAGATAGATTTTAAGGTATCCCCCCCCCCTAGCAGGGCTTACATTTGGTTTAATGATATAAAATCCTAACATCACTTGGATTAACTCTGAATATTCGTCTTAAATGCTCCATTAAACCTGGGTAGGATTTCCAACATAGCTAAGCGCTATGTAAATTTTACATGTAATACCTCTTGATGATTAATTATTAGTTAATTCTCTTCGCGGTAAGGTAGCTCACTTGGTTAATACTATTAGATAATTATATAAGATAATTACGTACCTTAATCCTGCGTTAAATTTATGGGCGTCTGAGCTTAATGTTATGTTTCTTTCCGCTGATTAAGCTCTTTTGGTAAGACTTAATATAATGAACTACAATTTAAAAAAAAAAAAAAAAAAAAAAAAAAAAAAAAACCGCCTTAAACGAATTTTAGTCTCATAATAGGGCTTGTAAGTATGTCGCTAACTTCTCCATCTCGTACTTCCCAGCTAGTATTTTTCAAACCAAATGTGAATAATTTTTTTATTAAATCGATAAAAAAAGTTACTACCGCTATTGTTAAGCTATTTAAACAATAATAGATTACAATATACAGGCGATTTTACAGTAAAATATAGCCTATGTTAAGTTGTGATTTTTTTTTTATTAAAGAAGCATACAGTTAGTTTTTATTATTTGTTCGAATCATGACTATTAGTCCTAGAAGTAGTTACAACATTATAGTTCCATTTACAAACCTGACGGTCTATGGGGCGATTGAAGTCGAGTTCACCTCGCCATATGCAGGTATAGTGTGGTCAGCACTTTCCCTAATGTGAGTTAGGCACCCATCAGAGCTGTGTGGATTCAGTGACGGTCTACCGACTTAGACTTATCCGGGTTTCGGACTCGAGCTTAACGGGCAAGCAGTGCAGATCTCTACCGCTAGGCCACTCCATCCATTAGTTACTATATTAATATTAATAGCATAGGCCCAGCGATCACTCTACTATAAGCGACGATTGAAAACAATTAATTTAGGTTAAAAAATGTATATCTCTCCCTAAGCGAGAGAGACCAAGACTTACAAGCCCAAAAATCGCGAAGCCATTATTTACTATTTTTTAAAAATAAAGCAATTGATATGTATACTAATAGATGTAAATAACATAAAGCGAAGTTAAAAGACAAACGTGTATCACTATCAAAATTGAGATTTTAAGTTAAATGAATTCTTTTGATTTTGTTTATTACAATCTACTATCACACCGTTTTCACCGTTATCTTTAGAGATTTGTTAACACCAGGCTATACTTCCAATTAAAACAAACTGTTTTAGTTCGCAATATCAGACGTGTCGTTGACCAGCTGTTTCTCGTACAGTATCTTCCACAACTGCCCATCCAGCGTTGTTACTACACCAGCAGCTTCCAGACCAGACCTGACCACTTTCTCGTCTATGTTCAGACCAAAGGACACCATCAGAATCCCTTTATCCTGCGACAACTGACTGACTTCATGGATGTGCTGTTTTATATGCGCTCGGATGGTTTCCTCACTGACGTTGTCAATAGCATAAAGGTCAATGTTATATAGTAGACCGTGGGTCCCAGGAAAGTGCAGAGAAAATGAGACCATGTTTATATTCCTGTAGAAGTTTTGCGTGAAGCATGGGTATGTGCACTGTGTTGACCTTTGAACCGTGGCGAATACTTTTCTCCCTTTCCCAAGTATGTGAGGAATGTTCGCCTCAATACACTTGTAAGGTACAAAGTAATTGAAAAGTCGTTTCGTAGGTACCAGCGTAGCTAGCGCGTCGCCCTGGGTGAAAAGTTGCTTGACCTGAAGGTAGTTCATCTGATGGACGACTGTTGAGCCTTGAGTGAAGGATTCTGGGAAGTCTTGCGGGTTGTAATAGAAGGTGTATAATGGCTGCAATACAGCAAATAATCATTCAGAAAGGCTAAAGAAATGTGGACATTTAAAAAATGTGATAATAAAAGTAAAGTTTACGGGGACACACGTGGAAATCATGCGGTCAGTTTCAAGACCGATTCGGGGTCGTCGAAAAATGACGTCACACTCGTAAGGGGGAGGGAGGTCCGTAATTTTGTGACGGTGTGTGATGAGGGGGGAGGGGGTCAGATGGTGCGACGGCACACTTTTGCATTATAAAATTAAAAAAGCAATGTTACTAACGAATTTTAGACGTTATTTCGCGTTTTAAATAACTGTTTTAATAAACTGTAATAGGAATTGATTAAAATGTTCTATTTTGACTGAGTTCAGACAACATTTTAGAAAAATATCGATATTTTAGGAAAAATTCAACAGCAGTTTTGAGGGGGATTGTAGGCTGAGGTGTGACATCACTTTAGGGGGGGGGGTCTGGCTTTTTGTGACGACGTGTGACGGAGGGGAGGGGGGAGGTAAAAATCGTCAAAAAAAGCGTGACGTCATTTATGGACGACCCCTTAGCAATTTGCAATTGCTATTTCCTTAGAGATATGAATCAGTATATTACCATATACTTCCACCTGTTATTTCATTTTATAAATACTATTATATAATCTACATTGAATACATTATAATATATTTATTTTCATAATATGGGCCTATATATATATATATATATATATATATATATATATATATATATATGTGTGTGTGTATGTGTGTGTTTGGCTTTGTCTTTCTCCCCTTGGGCACTTGTCTAGATATCAACGTTTACTTTAGTTAGCACAGTGGGGATTTCCTTTGTTTACATGACATGGATTTATCCGGGCTGTGTACCTTGCATTGGTCAACTAGGATTTGTTTGTTTAAGTCGATTACCTTATACTGCATTATATCAGCATACCTTAGATTAGTTGCATTGGCTTGCTAAGTTTGGATTGTCTGTTTTACCTTCTGTACCTGTGGTGTACAGATTCTTTCTGGTACCTCTCCCCCGTGAAGCAAAACTATCCCCCCTTCCCGGAAATGAAACTAAAAAAATTAAATTATATAAATTAAAACGTCACCCCCCCCTCCCCTCGAAATTATAAATCCGCCCCCACTCAGAAAGGTCAGAAAGTTTAAATAGAGCCGCCATTCACGACCTACCACCCTCACCCCATCTCGGGGGGGGGGGGGGGGGAATGTCTGTTGGTAACAGTGGGCGTACTATGGGATGACTCACCGGGGATTAGTTAGGGGGAAAAATAAAAATAAACAAAAAAAACGTTTACAGTGACATCAGTGGTTCCGGACCCTCAACTGTGGGGGTCAATTATACTCTCCACTCGGCCACGATGTCATTTATCAAAATATTATCCGGTATCTAAAGTTACCTTACGGAAAACTTCCGTATATTCTGGTTGTTCCCCTGGAACTATGGTTGACCGTACCAAGCACTTCGCATCTTTGAAAAAGAATCTCCCAGCGTGTTCCAATTCATTTGACATTAAATGGAATATCCCGCCACCCCTGTAAGACGAGTGGACTCTCCCGGCACGTTTGATTAAGGTTTCTCCTCCATCCAATAGCTGAAGCATGTTGAAACCAACCTGAAACAAAATGAACATATACATATAGATCGATATATTTTTACAGCCTTTATTGAACTTGTTTCCTCCTGCTTTTGGCTTCGTAAAGCGTCAAAACTTGCGAGCAAAACGTCGACCACTCATACCCAACATATTTTATCCAAAGTTGAGAAAGTTCGAAATTCGATGACAATGCAATTTGATATAATAAGAAAAAAAAAATATATAAATAAAGTATCTAGTTTTTAGCGTTTTTACAAAGAATTCAGTGCGTTCTTTTTCCAAATGCGATTAGATTATAATAAAAAAATAAAAATATTTTAAAAGATACATTTTGAAATACTTTTATAATACCAATAGCAATACACAATTTTTAGATTAAGTATAATGAAAAGCGTGAGCTGCTATATTATGTATTGAATACAATTCATAACATGTAATACGCAACCTACGCTTTTCTTAGTTTTCAAATAGTGGCGCATTAATACACATTTGAAGAAAAACTGTTTTTTCATTTTAGTGTATACACTAAATTAACGCAGATGGTCTATACATGCGTTAATATTTAGTTTCAAAAGATTTTTTGATAATCGTTTCTGTCGGCCCACAAGTATTTTTTTCCAAGTAGCCCAGCGGGATATGTGCCCTAGTGGCCCACCGGAATATATTTCGTTGCGGCCCACTGGGATATGTGTCCTAGTGGCACACCGGAATATATTTCCCGGCGGCCCACCGTCCGACGTCCAGGCGGGTCAGTTCTCACTCAAAACAGAATACACAAATAAACAGTGACGTACCACGTGACCGTTGACCTCTGCCACCACGGCATAAACATCCGGGTCGTTTAGAAAACTGTGGTAGTAGTGTGACAGGTAGTCCCTCCCCTTGTACACGTCACCTATGGCAACCACGGCCTCGTAGTCCTCTGGTCTGGCTCGTCTTATGGTCGTGTGGGCGGCACTCGATGCCATACTTTTCGTTGGTGGGTTGTAGAAGTTGGTGGTGTCGGTTGGTGGTGTCAGTTGATGGTGTCAGTTGATGGTGTCAGTTGATGGTGTCAGTTGGTGGTGTCAGTTGATGGTGTCAGTTGATGGTGTCAGTTGGTGGTGTCAGTTGATGGTGTCATTTGATGGTGTCAGTTGGTGGTGTCAGTTGGTGGTGTCAGTTGGTGTTGTCAGTTGGTTGTCAGTTGCTTGTGTCAGTTTGCGTTGTCTATGTTTGCTGGCTGTGACATGGCTCGGGTAAATCAACAAACAGACACGTGACCTGGAATAGTAGGAGCAAACTAACTAATCTTGTTATTAGCGAAAAACATAATTTTTTTATCCCTCTCTTATCACGGCCGGTTCTGGTCCCTAATAACCACGATAAATGAAAAACCGCGAAGTAGTGTTACCATCTCATTTTTTTTACATACGTTGTATATTTTCTGTATTTATAATATCACTAAATGTATATGAAATCGTATAATTACATTAAAGAATAGAATAATACATGTAAATATTATATTATTAGTATAAATAACATATTTAAAAATATAATGTTTAAATAATGCTAGCCGTCCAGGCCAGGCCATGCACTGGCCTTTATGAAAAACCTATCTGTACAGGACCTTGTATTGTGTGTTTATTAAGCAGCATATACCCGGCATAACCTGGGTTTAGGAAATATATTACTTTTCCAATTCAATTTCCAACCAACCAAAGCCAAATCACAAACACAAAAACAAACGCAAACGTAATGCAAACATAAACGCAAAAGCAAACACAAACGTAAACAAAAATGCAAATGCAAAGACGCAAGCCGTTAACAAAATGTAGATTGCCCATATGAAGGAATATTTACGTGTTAAATGATTATCTGTTAAAAACATATATAAAAACATTTTAAAGTTATAAAAAATTGAGAAATTTGAAACCTTAACTTACCTGAACACTTAACTGTGACTTAACACGCTGAATGTGTCGAACTGAAGTCGTTTGGGGCATGTAACACAGAAACTGTTGACGTCGCGACCATTGCATGTCTGATGGGGCCAATGGTATACAATTAGTTATCACTGGCCATGTTGACTTAAGATATTCGGGATGATTTGCTGTGCTGTACACAGCGATAGCTAAACTGGAGGGGAATATTTTACGTCATAAAAAGTCGATTTTATTAAATTTGTATTAAGCATGTAGGTTGCCACTCAAAATTTTTTTTCTGGTACTTTAGATATTTTAAAGCAAGTAAAATAAAAGTTAAATCGACATTCCCCCCCCCCCCCCCACAATGTTATCGTTATATATAGTCGCTAGACAGCTAACCACTGAACTACACTACAACAATTTATTGTTGACGTAAACTACTGTTGCCTTGATTTCACAGGAGTTTATTTGAGATAAAACAACTGCTATGATTAGCAAGCTATGAAAAGCAAGTGCTGAAAAATTCCGTATGGTATACGGAATATAATCCCGTAAAAGGCTAAGTGGAGATTTTGACAAATTTTGACGACCCTTAACCTTCCGGAAAGAGTTTCTTCCAGGCATCTCTTCGGGGGGGGGGGGGGGCACCCGATGAAAGTCTACCGCCTACCTCCCCCGAACGAAATGAAATTTATATAAAAAATATATACTTTTGACAGTGTCCGTCCCCCCCCCCCCCAGGAAATTGTTGTCCGCCCCCTCCCCCCCGAAAATTTCAAGTGCATCCCCGGAGAAAAAGTCTGGAAGAAACACTGCTTCCGGAGCCGGAAAAAATGTAGTTTTGCCACCCTGTCCGTCTGTGTGTCTGTAAAATCGATAACTTGAGAACCTTTTAAATGATGTTGACACAGTTTCATATTACAACACATTTGTAGCTTCATTTCAATTTTTAGCGACTTCCGGTAACCTGTGATAAGTGATATGTACTCTATTTCCGGTCTTACAAAAACTGATAACTTGTATACCATTAAAGCAAGGTAGACACGATTTTAAACATAAGTATTAGATTGTATTCAAAGATTTCTTACAAATTTTGTACGATTTCCGATCACCGGAAGTGGTAAATTGCTCTATTTCCTGGGGAACACGACAATTTGAATACTTTTTCAGTAGGTAAACATAATTTAAATTGTACTTCTAAGATCTTATGCATGGATACCTGACTTTATTTTAAATTTTAAGTCTAAATAAAACACTTTACCAACCTTTTCGTGTTTATAATACCGACCACAGCTTTGGGTATTTCACATGTATACAAAATAAACCTAAGTGTTTCTTTTAATGCTGAAATATACTGATGGAACGTTTTTGTGAAACAAACTTGTGAAAACTTAAAACGCTAAACCGCACTGAATTCAAGACAAGAGAAACATTGATAGGATGAAAGAAAGGTAACTCGTAGTGCGCCAGAGTGTTTTAGATATCACGGTTACGGGAATTTAGTAGATATATAAACAACGATAAACCGATTAAAAAGCTTTAGCTTTAGAAACATTTTATGATAAAATTGTGACCCCCCCAACACCCGACTGTCTAAAGCCACCAAATTCTGGAGCTTGATTAGTCAGTGTTAATGCTATGTTTGTTAATCAAATATTATTTTGTCATTACCTAGCTCTGATGAGTACCTAACTCGCGATAGGGAATCAAAGGAGGCTGACCACACAATTCCTTCAAATGTCGAGGTCTCAGAAGCAGTTGAACTCTACTTCATCTCTGTCTTGGTCACGAACAGGAAATGATCATAACAACAGTAAAGGCCACAGAGGAGATGCCTGAAAAAAGCATCTGAGATAAACTGAAGTCAAACTTTTAGAAACTACAGAAGCAGGAGATCATTGACCAGGTAAAAGAAATAAACCGGGAGTGATCTCCCCTAAACTTTCTCGAATATTCTTATAAAAAAAACAGGGGATGGGAACTCGGGATATAGACATGAATTTTAATCCATTTTAAATACTTACACTTTTTTAAAAATAGAATAAAATCTCGTAGAAAAAAGAATTGCACACCCGTGAACGCCAAATAAAATGTGCATAATAGTGCGGAATATTATTAATATTTTATAAATTTACATTAGTTTTTGAGAAATCGGAAATTAGTACTTCCGGTCAACGGAAATTACTCAAAATTTGACAGAAGGTAGAAAATTAGATTTTTTACTTACATGTGAAATTTCATTTATCTACCTGAAATAGTACTCAAGTTATAGGCTTTTGAAAAATTTAAAGTAAAAAGTACCACTTCCGGTTATCGGAAATAGTTCAAAAGTTGATACGGATCTACGATTTTGATGAAATACTTATATATGAAATTTCATCAACCTAGCTGTAACGGTACTCAAGTAATCGTGTTTACACACAGACACACACATACACACAGATATACGGACAAGATTGCAAAATTATTTTTTTCCGTATCAGGGAGGTGTAAAACGTCGAGATTTGCAAAAATCTCTATTTTTTTTTGCACGATTACAAGACTTTCTCTATACTTCGTATATACGAGAAAGTAAAAATAACTCTTTTACTAAAGTTTAATAAAATAACGGTTATGGCGAATATATAGAATATTTTTAGCGCAATTTCCATTCTGGAGAATTGCGTTTATTAACCCTTTCAGGACCAAGGGACACCGGTGTCCCAAATTTTCAAATTATCACCAAATGAAATTGGAATAACATAGAGTTGTTGAATTTGCTTTAAAACATTTATTACATGATAGACTTAATATAAATAAAGTTGCTTTCAGTATATATGAGATAGTTTTGTTGTCATAATTATGGGAACTTTGCATTTTTAGACCACTCGCAAAGCTACAGTTTGCATTTTTATATAAAAAATACTAACTGTAACAGAAATAAATTACTGGCGGTTTTTCAAAGGTTTACTATTTAGGTATTATATTTACATTTGTTTTTCCTAATAGCTTTGCTTGTTTTTCTTAAAAAGCAATTTTTTGTGCTTGGGACATATATGTCCCTACGGTCCGGAAGGGAGCTAACTTTTTTACAATGTTGCTAAGCATGAGTTTTGGCATTAGAATACAAATAGTTGCAAAGCTTTTATTTACTATAACTGAACAAAATGCTATGCAAATACAGTTTATTTACAATAAGGACGATGAAAACAACTTGCTTCTTTATGAAAAAGATGTGCATTTTCTGTAGAAATATGATGACAAAGTAAGTGTAGAAGCTATAATCAAACGACTTGTTCAAGTCCCAGAGCAGATTGTCACTACTACAATAAGGCCTACACCTTATTCTAGTCAATCTGCTTTGCATACATTGCATACACCGTCAATCTCACATGCTATAGTGACTAATATTCCGTCAAATATGCAAGGTCCGCGCAGTATTTGTGAACATGCCGCGCTGTCATTTTGTAAATACATGTTACCTTGTATGAGATTTTTAGAACACCGCGCACAAAAAATATACGATGTACACTAGAGTTTTCCCCTCAAAGGGAGCGTTAATAGTAACAATTACCCCTCCGACACCCCCCACCCGAAATTACCACCTCCGAGCAAGTACCCATCGTCCAGTTATGGATAAGTTAGGACTAGGGTTTGATTAGGGTTAGGGCTAGTTTTAGAGTTAAATGTTGATTTAGAGTTGGAGTTAGGGCTTTTGTTAGGGTTAGCTATAGGCTTGGAGTTTGGGGTAACCAGGCTTGGAGTTTGGGGTTAAGATCAGGTGTCTTCAGCATCGGTGGGGGGGGGGGGGGGAAAGGGGAATTGGACGGGGTGGTAATGTCCTAGACCCGAAGCTGACACATATCATTATCATCAATAGAACTAGAAACCAAACGTTTTTGTGATAATTGAAAAAGGAGAATGGAGCAAGATATTATTTTCAACTAGAGGCTTTTGAAAACACAGTTTCCAATAAAAGTAATTGACTATGGTTATAGGAAATTGACAATAGATGTTGATTGAAATGAAGATCCTAATGATTTTAGGCTATTAAATCCATGTTTCATACATTGATAATTTGTTTTCACGATAATGATTTGGATTCAAAAAGCCATTGATACCTATATTTGACAAGAATTCAACGCTGGCTACAAGGCAAAACCAAGCTTGAATATAGGCAAATGATAGCGAGAGCTCAGATATAGGGATTACATCAAAGAGATATCACCTCAAGACTTGTTCGTAGAGGCAAGAATTTCACTTCAACCCCCACCAGAAGTTGATAATTCAAAGATAGAGAAACGCAGGAGTTATGCACAATGTGTAACAGAAACGATTGAGAACCAAGCGGACAATATGTATTATATCTGCCATGTTCGTGTATTTTATATAACATCACATAACTGCTTCCATAAGCTCCATTCATAGATGACTATACACTCATAAAGGACGTAAATGTGTTCTCAATACTGATATTTTCAATTTCTAATGTACCAGAACAACTAACACACGTTAGATCACTTTTAGAATAAACATATTGACATAACTCACAACGTAACCTATTTTCGATAATTTTCCTTTGAGGACCGTAGGGACACATATGTCCCATGCTGTATCTCAAAAACTATTTAAGATAGAGGAAAACCGTTAACTTTTTTGAAATCTACGTGTCATTTTACTACTAAATATGTGCACAGATATTTGAAATTATGCCTGTAATCCTTGTGGTCCTGAAAGGGTTAACTCGTCTTTTCTGGGAATGGATGGATGTGTGTCCGCAGCTTTAAGTCGTATCTCCTCCTCAACGAAGCAATATCGAGGACTAGTTCCAAAAGCAAATATGTTAAGCAAGTTACCAGGATGAGCATAGGTCAAAAAAATTCTGGGTTTCTTTCATGGATTTCCCGGAAAAGCCAAAAAAACTCGAAAAATGCAATTTTTTGCCCATATCTCGGCAACCAGACCACTTAGCGACTTGAAAGATGTACCAATCGAATCCTGCCATAATTTAGAACAATATTGCCGAAGAAAGTTTTCAAAAATATCCTTTCGTTCGGTCACAAAATTTTTTTTGAATTAATTAAAATTTGGACCGAATTAGTAGGCATTTTATCCAACCACACCACACGCGTCATCACGTTCAATAGCTGCGCCATCACGTTCAATGGCTGCGTCATCACGTTCAGTAGCTAGGCGCGCAATGGTTTTTAGTCATGTAACTGTATTGTAAATAAAACATGTATTTTAACCAATGGTTTTACTAACCCTGCTCTTGATTTACGCTACGACAGAGTTATTTTTAGATAACATAAGGAAATTGCACTTAAATGTCTCTAGACTTTTTAATTAACTTGTTTAAAAAATCAAACACATTAAAAAATAAAGAATTATAAACTTTTGCATATTTTAAAAGTTCTATTTGTAAACATTTTAATGTAAAAATTGTGCCCCCCCCCCCCTCTCATCTTCTACACCTACTTAGCCCACTAGCTTTGCCCGTCACCAAATCATTGAGTCTCGCGAGAGATTATGTAGTCAGATTTTGGTTTTGGGTTAGTTTAGACTCAAACTATAAATGCATGTTTACTGTCATTTTAATTTTAAGTTTCAAGTTTTATTTTCACACTAGGTTCACCCTCTAATAAAAAATAATTATTTTAGACTTCGGCTGTACAAGAAAGATTAGGTTGTTCATAAAATGTTCACAACAATAAATACTATTCATTGCTGCAATAGTAGTCTATATATTTAGCACTTGTAACACTTCACTCTCTTCACTCTATCTACATTAAAAAAATGGGTGACCTATTTTTTTTAAAGACGGTAGTGAGGGTGACTTTCTAAAGCCTGCAGTTGTAAAATGGACCAAAGAAGCATTTACGTATGTAGTTGCATGTAGGGCACTTTCGCCCATTTAAATTCCCTACACACAGTGTAAGTAGTTCTAGTTGTGCTATTGTTTTGTAATGTTTTCTTGCCACGTAAAGTTAGTATATTATACAGTGACTAGTACTGAATCAATAAGCGTAGAGCGAATCTGATCGAATTGGCTTAATATATTTCATAACTTAAGATGAAAGCAACTTAACAACAACAGCAAATTAAATCTTAGTAAATCGTTATCAGGTTTCATTATTACTATTTTTTTTGCGATTGTGTACAGGGAATATCCAAATGTCCAGCAACCCAGTAATCAGAAGAGCTGTCAGCGCAGACTACACTGACCTAATGGACATTGGGGATGTGTATGGAGGTATCGACTACTTCATGGCCTTGTACCACGACTTTCTAGACGACCCTGACATTTACCCCGTTGTTGCCGAGGTCAAGGGTCGAGCGGTTAGTACATAAAATAGGACAGTTTTAATAAGTTTAACATAATGTGTTTATGCACTACTCATTTCAAAGTAGGCACTTACAAGCCGATGTATAGTCCTCACCGACCCTACTCTCAAAACTAGGTGTGTTAGGTTGCGATTTCATTACACGACATAGATGTGAAACATAAAGATTCTCCAAAGTTCTGACAATAGCTTATTCTAAAGTAAAATAATTAATATATCGGCATTTCGTCCATGTCGGCCTTTTGTCCTTGTCGGCCTTTTGTAAAGGAGGCACGACTGTCCACACGATCACTTCATTAGCCCATGTCATGTATATGAACTCTACTTCATCTGCCTCGTAGACTTAAAGGTAGAAAGCGATAGGCCTACCTAACTTTCGTTATATTTAGGGTTAAAGTTGGGTTTATTTTTTTGGGGTTAGAAATGATGGGGGGGGGGGGGGGGGGGGCTTGTTAATTTAAATGAAAAACTTTCTGCTAACAACCGAAAATACCCTTTTAAAATATTTTATCAATTAGAAACCTCCATTACATTAGAAAAAGACAATAATAATAAAAATTCCTGAAAAAAAATGCCAATTATTGTAAAAAAAACTTTGGAATTAAAAAAAAAATCCAATATTTAAAATTTTTAAAATGCATCTTGCACTTCTTTAGGTTGGATTCTACATGAACCACATCGTCGATGGTGGGCTCACTGTGATCAAACGTGCCGGGCGAGTCCACAACTCACACAGGGGTGCTGGAATATTCCATTTGATGTCCCAAGAGATGGAGAGGCACCAGCAGGAGAATTACCCTGGGGTCAAGTACGTGGCCTTGAGTGCCAGGAGGTCGGCTGCTGAGAGGGCGGCCAGGGAGATGAAGGACCAGGGCTATGACGAGGTCGTCTTGAAGGTAAGGGGTCGTCAGGTGGGGTGTGTGTGGGGTAAGGATTAAATTGATTCGGCTTCAGTGAAAAAGGTGTCTCTATGTGTGTGGGTGTGTCATCTTAAGGGTTCGAGGATTAAGACAGACCTGTGGGGAACGTTGTGTTTATAAGTTTGTGTGTGGGGTGAGGGTGGGGAGGTGTCGTCGTAAAGATAAAGTACTTCAGTGAAGAAACTGTGTGTGTTAGGGGAAGGTGAGGGCCAAGAATAAGGTATTTGGCTTCAGGAAGAACTTGAAGAAGTTACTTTGGTGGGGTTTATCGTTTTACAATACTTAAGTCAGATCGATGGAGAAAACGTGGTTTTGTTGTGTGTGTGTGTGTTAGTGAAGGGTAAGGGGGGGGGGGAGAAAAGGAGAGTTGTTGAGACATGTCTTTGAAATATCTGAAATGTTTGTTTCACGTGATGGCGATATTAGATTTAGATATCTTGTGAAGATAATCGTTGTTAAAACCTTTAGAGATGTAAATCATTTAGTCGAAAAATTATTTTTTGTCATTGATCGTATTGTTTTGAAAATCTTTTAGAAAAAAAATCTTATTTGTATTATTCTTCAGCCGATTCACAGATTCATCTTCGACGTCAAAAAGATCAAGAGTAAATTGGACCCTGAAATAACGTCCCATGTGTTACCAATTACGTACGAGGACCTCAAAAATTTGTTTGGTTTTAGTGATGTAGTAGATGCGTTATTTCCGAAGAAAAGATTGTTCAATTTTTACAAGCCTTTTCGTTGCATGGAGGCCAACATCAAACACGTCATAAGCGAGAGACATGACGTATTTGCTACTACGTCAGCACCAATAGCTCGAAACTCTGAAGGTCAGGGACATTTTACAGACGAGGTGTTGCGTGGTATTGACATGGTCTCCTTCTCCGAGCGGTTTCCTGTTCGTCATGGTCTGGTGTACACGCTGGATATGTATGGACGTGACCAGGTGGGTGACGTCACCATCAGGTCTCACCTCCAGCGTCACGTGGGGTCTCTGGAGACCTTGACCCAAGCTGGCGGGACGCTGGTCATCACGTACGGGAACAACATCGAGGGCGAGAGAGTGTTTTCCATCCTACGAGAGTTGGGCGTGGACGAGTTGTCGCCCGTTGTTGATAGCTGGAAGGTGTTGTACGAGAAATGTGTGGATACACATTCTGCATCAAGTTAAACTTTAAGTTACCTTATCCTCTACAATTATGATGGAGTAATGAGATTTGTTCATTTGGGTTACTGAAGTTTTACTCGTTATCCCGTTGGACTATTGCTTCTTTTTTGCGAGGGTTAACTATCGTAAAGTTTTGTAGAAAATATTCCTTGAGCATTGTTGTGTAAGACTAAAAGAGAGATTCGCAACTATTATAAACCCTAAGAATCGCCTTTAAAGAAAGGCACGAATACATAGGTAAAGATTACCGACGCATTTAGGATACCTCACGGAATAAACCTGGTCTTTTAGAAAAACTTTCGACCTGATAAAAATATTCTTTGACCGAACGGAGACACTAGAGTCGGGTGCCATGGTTACTGAGTGTAAGAGAATTAAAGTCTACTCTTGGCCATAAGCTCTTGTCATTCGTCGAAAGCGCTGACTAATTTATCTCTCCCATCATTTGATGGACCTCATGGTAACAACGACGTAGTCTAGCGGTAGAAAGTACTAACCCCAAGACTCGAGTTTGAGATCCGGACTTGAGACCGCTAGACGTCGCTTGCAATTTATGTCCAATATGTTCATATTAGGAGGTGGCATGCACTTGGAGAGAAAGCAAAAAACCTTGCGAAACCCCGCATGTCTAGCGGCTGGGAACATGGGTGAGAGAAATGCTTGGGTATTAATTAAGTGTTCCAGTCTGGCTGGCTAATGAGCGAAAGCCTAAGCCGGCAATTTAGCATATATAAGAGAGTGAAAGAGAGAGAGGAGAGAGAGAGAGAGAGAGAGATTGACTATGAACTCTCGCACTGCTCCCGTTAAATAAATGATTCATCAGCGCGCAACAAATCGGGGAAGTGTAACGTTTTGCATCAGTATCATCTCTGCCATTTGTCTGCGGCACGAAAGAAAAAAATATTATGTATCACATATATTTGAATAATTTGGTCGAGAAAAACAAATACGGGTAGGGAGTTATCTCTTTTAGATGATTATATCAGGTATATATTTGCATGTATGTAATTAAGATATGGAGTGCCATGCGTTGGCATACAGACAGACACGTTGCGTGTACAGGTGAGAGAGGTAGTGTGGAACAACAAACAGGTGTGACTGTATAACGGACACCATGTGCAGTTTGTGCACTGCGTGGAGAAGAGCAGGATTGAAAGTTGAGTGGTTTGATATTTGTTTATATTCTGTAATCTTCTGTCTTTGTTGATATTATTTTAATATAGATATGCATATAATATTATAATAAGCTGTGTTCAGTCGTCCTTAAGTAATTAAATATACAGGTTATCTGTGTATTATTCGTAATGAATTGGACTGGAGTTGCGTTATATTATATTAGTTAGAATTAAGATGACACTGAAAAGGACGAAAAATTTCTTAACGAGGTGCATGTAACAACATTTTAATGAGTGTATACTAGTACATGGACAGAAATATAAAGAGGTATAGACCAAATTTTTATGTTTTAAAAACAGACATTTGAAAAGATAATTCAAGTAAACCATCATGAATAAAAATATTAAACTCATTTTTAAGACTGCAAGTTTTTATGGTAAGTACACAATGAAGTTTTAAAAATAAACCGCAGTTTAGAAGTTTAGGCGATGTATTTTTTTTTTGGTGTAAGAAGTCCCTCTAGACTGCAACCCTGTACCCTGTAGCATGATATAGCCTGAGCCTGCTGTAGCCTTATAATATGACCTGCATCTTTGTTTAGTGTATAAAGACCTGAAGCCTTAACAATGTAGCCATGAGCCTGCTGTCAGTTATGGGCTGGTATATATGAGATCAATTAAAGTTTAAAGAAACTTGAAAATAAAAATATCCAATGAATAACAAAATTAATAAACTTTCACAAACTTTTTTGTTAAACTGTAACTATACAGGACGCAATAGAATGTCCAGCAACCCTGTCATCAGAAGGGCCGTCAGCGCAGACTACACTGACCTAATGGACATTGGGGATGTGTATGGAGGCATCGACTACTTCATGGCCTTGTACCACGACTTTCTAGACGACCCTGACATTTACCCCGTTGTTGCCGAGGTCAAGTGTCGAGCGGTTAGTACACTGAATTTAGTGGGCAAATACTTATTTACTTTTCATTATAAAAGATACCATACATCGTAAAAGGAAGCGAGAGAAGTCAAATGAAATAAGGAAAAATCGAATGAGAAAGAGTTGACGGAAAGACGGCTAACATTCGTAATGAGGTTATAGCTAGAGACAGGATGAAATGACGCATACTTTGATGATGCCTCTTGCATCAATGGACGATAAAAGTTGTTGATGAACAACCAAGAACTATTAATTTCTCTATCAAAGTGGCAATACCCGAAAACTTTATTTTATAGATAGGTCCATAAAATTGACATTACAAAAAAAAAATCAATTTTTATAAAAATATCGGTTAAATTTACATGACCCGAAAACTCAATTTTTTTTAGAATTGATATATAGTTAACTCTACTCAAAAACTCTATAGTTTTATAGACATGTTAATTAAATAGACTTAAAAAGCTGGTTCTAAATAGTTCAAATTTTTTGTTGTTAAAAGCACATTTTTCAACCAAAATTAAATACATTTTATAACATTTGTTTTATTAGTACAAAATTACTTACGGTTTCATTAATGCTAGAAATAGTCAAGGAAATAAATACTAGTAATGTAATATTAATTTAGCAAAATTTTTTTTATTTTTAAATTGGACTAGTAGAGTCAGGGTGTTGTGGTAATTAGGGATGATATATTATTTAATATAAATACAATACTACGCTAGACACCATAGATCACTATTGTGTATTTTATTATGGAAAACAATTGTTTTGAATTATATTGTTTCACTCTCACTGCCCATTCCAGTTGACTTCAAGGAGAGGTCGAGGGCAGTTTTTGAAAATCTTCGAATTGATAAAATAATTATAAATGGCTTTTCAACAGCTTATATTCGATAGAAAAAAAATATAGAGTGTACTCGATGGTTACCAAACAGCTTTAATTTTTAAAAATGTAACTATAATTTTATCGCTTAGAATATTTTTAAAAACATTTTTTTTTAAATTTAGTATGATTACATACACTTTTCAAGCCTATTGTTATTGCCAGTCAATAAACATAAAACACGAGCCGACCCGCGGCGTAGCATACGCCGCTATTTAGTTGTTGTTTTTTCTGCTTATTAGAAATTCCTAATCTTTGAATTCGACACTACTCCCCCCCCCCATTGCCCCGTTAAAGTAGCAGTCCAGAACGAAAGTTTACCGACAACAATGAAAAGATCAAGCAGAAATTGTCACCTCCCCTTCGTTTCAAATTGTTTTAATAAAAGATTATCTGCCCTTAATAGCCATCACTGATTCTACGATTGGAAACATTGGTCGTGAGCCAAAGCTCACCAGACTGATGGGGTGGGGGTGGTAGCGATATGCCTGGAGAGCAAGGGAGGGGGAAGCGAGGCGAGCTACGTGGTGGTGGTGTTGGTGTCCCGCATGGTCCCCATATAGAAAATCATATATATATATATATATATATATATATATATATATATATATATATATATATATATATATATATATATATATATATATATATATATGTATATATCATTCGTGGTCTTTTTGTTTGTAAAGGCTAAATCAATTGTGTGAGCGTTTGGTTTTCGTTTTTCCAATTTCATTTTTGGTGGAATAAGGGAACCTAAATCTCTGTTAGATTGGATTCAGTATGAACCACATTATCGACGGTGGACTCACGGTGAGCCGACGTGCCGGGCGAGTCCACAACTCACACAGGGGTGCTGGGATAATGCATTTGATGACCCAGGAGTTGGAGAGGCACCAGCGGGAGAATTACCCTGGGGTCAAGTACTTGGCCTGGTGTGCCAGAAGGTCGGCTGCTGAGAAGGCGGGCAGAGATATGAGAGACAATGGCTATGAGAAGGTCATCTTAAAGGTAGGTGGCTTCATGAAGGCGTGAATAATTTTTAAAGTAAGGTAAAATGAAATAAGTTTTTGCTATATTAGATCACGTAAGGTAGATATTAGCATTACAAAAATATTTTAGGATTTAATAGGTTTAACGAATTTACATTTTCAAGCATTTTAGGGTTTCAATAAGTTTAATTTTTTGTTGTTAAAATTACTGTTCAGCCAACTCTCGGATTTATTTTTGACGTCAAGAAGATCAAATGTCACTTAAAACCGGAAATAACGTCACAAGTCTTATCAATGACGTACGATGATCTCAACCATTTATTTGGTGTCGGTGACGTAGTAGATGCGTTATTTCCAAAGAAAAGATTGTTCAACTTTTACAAACCTTTTCGTTGCATGGAGGCCAACATCAAACACGTCATAAGCGAGAGACATGACGTATTTGCTACTACGTCAGCACCAACAGCTCAAATCTCTGAAGGTCAGGGACATTTTACAGAAGAGATGTTGCGTGACATTGACATGGTCTCCTTCTCCGAGCGGTTTCCTGTTCGTCATGGTCTGGTGTACACGCTGGATCTGTATGGACGTGACCAAGTTGGTGACGTCACTATCAGGTCTCACCTCCAGCGTCACGTGGGGTCTCTGGAGACCTTGACCCAAGATGGCGGGACGCTGGTCATCACGTACGGGAACAACATCGAGGGCGAGAGAGTGTTTTCCATCCTACGAGAGTTGGGCGTGGACGAGTTGTCGCCCGTTGTTGATAGCTGGAAGGTGTTGTACGAGAAATGTGTGGATACACATTCTGCATCAAGTTAAACTTTAAGTTACCTTATCCTCTACAATTATGATGGAGTAATGAGATTTGTTCATTTGGGTTACTGTAGTTTTACTCGTTATCCCGTTGGACTATTGCTTCTTTTTTGCGAGGATTAACTATCGTAAAGTTTTGTAGAAAATATTCCGTGAGCATTGTTGTGTAAGACTAAAAGAGAGATTCGCAACTATTATAAACCCTAAGAATCGCCTTTAAAGAAAGGCACGAATACATAGGTAAAGATTACCGACGCATTTAGGATACCTCACGGAATAAACCTGGTCTTTTAGAAAAACTTTCGACTTGATAAAAATATTCTTTGACCGAACGGAGACACTAGAGTCGGTTTCCAATGTTACTGAGTGGAAAAGAATTAAAGTCTACTGTAACAACATGAATTCTTTGTTGTTGTGGGTTAGTTTTCACACAGGAATACAAGCAATAGTGGCAACTTCAAATGATGACTTTATTTACACTATATACAGTGAGAATGATAAATCCATAGTTATTCATGGTAAATCCATATTAGAAGATACTCAACAAGTACAGTCACAGTCACGACTCCAAGTCATGGAGACATCTTACATTCACTGCCACCGTTCAAGTCCCAAGTCCTAGCACACAACACCCGTTCACCTTTTGCTCTCCCTTTTATACGGTCCATTCTCTCCCCTTACGTCAATGAGCGATCTCACCCAAAACATGAAAAAACACATGACGATCGCTCAGACAGTCCTTCCGCTAGCCAGGTACTCTTCATTCATGCAAAACACAATATAATAAAGATACATAATAATACAGTCTGTGACACGTCCCCCCTTCGAATAAAATTTTGTGTAACAAAATTTATAAATACAATATTAGTAGGGCAGGATCATGTGCCAGACAACAAAATTTATAAATACAGTATTGGTAGGGCAGGATCATGTGCCAGACAACAAATAATTGTGTACAATTCAAAGTAGAGTAAAATATATTCATTTTAGACTAAGCACTTGTAGTCATAAATTTATAGTGCATACAAATACAACAGTATGTAGTGACTATATCAGTGATAATTAAAATATGTCAGTGTTTTGAACAAAAACTTTAAATGTCCAAGCATTATATGTAATATTTAATGCATCAATATACATTCACATAGGAGAAAAAAAAACCATTTCAATTACCCAGTAACTGTAAAAAAACTACATCAGTTGGGATAAATAATATACCAAACTAATTTGGTACAGGACTTAATTCCAAAACATAACACATAGTTAAAATAAAGACATGAATTAAATAATTATATCCTATGTAGTAAAACAACCTTATCATCAAGGCATGTTATTACTACACATAAGTAATATACCTTATTGTCTCCCCTAGTCGACCCATTTCAGTCACATCTAGGTCACAACACAATCACTTTCCTGCCTTCCACAGGTATGACTAACACACAATTCATCATTGAGACTTCCGTCTTATTGTTATGCGGAATAAATAGTCTCTAACTTTTACTTTATCCATTATTCCTTGTTAATTAATAGTATAGAATAGGTTTAACATAATACAGTTTACATTCTTTTGAAATAGTACACAATTTATATTTACTGATACAAATTGTTTGATATCCATATTTTACAGTTACAGACTGTATAATATTAATAAACTGTCAATTGATAATTTAATCTTAGCATCCTCTATAGCATGAGTAATCGTTCTCGTGCAGTTGACGATGACCTGTATGCCATCTCTCCCTCAAATTGTAGCTTGTAGCTGTGCTACCATAATCATTTCCTAGATTTCGTGTAACTTGTGTTACTTCATCTGTTTTAATATTCTCCTCTGGTTTCTGAACAACGTCAGTAGTTATCTTGCTTTGTGTACGTTCGTTTGGTTCATCAACCAACTCAATATAAATATTATGGCATTGCTTTGGCCTCTCATAATATGTGTTGCGTCGGTAACTTCCATTAGTATACCTATTCACACTTTTGTTATTCTGATTTGAACTTGATACATTATTCCTTAAATTACTGTATTTCTCACATGACTTTCTGTGTACATAATTGTTTCTTCTCTGATTTGCCAACCTATGCCAACATTGATTTTGGTAATGACCTGTTTTTCCGCAGTAAAAACATCTAGATTTTGGCTTCTTATAAACATGGTGACTGTATTCATAGTTTGCTAAATTTCTTTTTCTTTCATTCTGTGCATTAATGACATTAATGACATTCTTATTAACATGTTGACTGTATTCATAGTTTGCTACATTTCTTTTACTTTCATTCTGTGCATTTTTATTAACATGGTGACCGTATTCATAGTTTGATACGTTTCTTTTACTGTCAGTTTGTAATTTATTGACATTGTAGTTTGTAGATATTTTTTTATCTTTCTTAACTTCCTTGTGCTTCTTTATTGATTCTAGTTCACACATAAATTTCTGGGTTAATTTCTCCATTTCTTTGTTAAATTTATTCTTGAGTTCTAGTATATCTTCTTTATAGTTTGACTCCAATTTTTTAAGTAACTCCTCAATAGGTACGTTCTCTTCATTGTGGCTTATTAAGTTCACTGATTCATTAATCATCATTAGTTTATCATGATTCCTGCCATTCTCCGATGGACTTATTAAATCATCACTGCCATTGACTGATGGGCTTATTAAATCATTTTGACTACCATTCTCTGATGGACTTGTTTCTTGTTGACTGCCATTCTCTGATGGACTTACGATACAACTTTCAATAAAATTCTCGTGTACCTGCGTTTGAGTCGATAAAGAGTCAATCTTAAAACATTCTAATGTATCTGTCACCTTTAAATCATTATTAAGTTCAACCTCTGTTTTATCCTTGGGTTTCAATTCTTCCTGGACTATGTTACTCTGTTCTTCATTCCAAAGGTTGCCAATATTTACTTCTTCAAGTTCTGCTTTAAATTCTGTCTGTTCACTTTCTAATTTTGGTTCATTTGTGTCTGTTATAGCTTTCATTTCTAATAGTTCTTGTTCATATGCTAGTTCATGTAGGCCTACTTGTTTTTCCATAGTTTCAGCCCTATTATCTGCTCTCTGTTTTCTGTTTCTTTTTTTTTTCTTTCCTTTTGGTTGTACAGTCTCCTCTGCTTTATCTACTTCTGAAATGTCTTCTTCTTTATGCATGTCTGTAATAGCTCTTGATCTATTACACACTATTTCTATCACATCATCTAGTTCTCTCAATACATTTCCATGTACTCGTCGGGGTTGGTCTGTTTCTTCGTCCCATGCTTCTTTTGCTTCTTCTATGTCTTTTTCAAGTCGATTGGTTGCCCAGGCTATCTGCTTATTCATCTTCTTAATGCCTTGCGCCCTCGCTAGTGCTAGATATTCTTCAAAACATGACATTTTGATATATTTTCTATTTATGACATAAAATATAAATTCATTAGTTAACAATAGGTAAGTGTTAATTAATTTACCAATACCCTTTCTTGTATTCTGGCTTTGTTCAGTTGATTACAGACATCTGGTAATCCAAGAAAAGTTCATAGTACATATATACGTCCAAAAATAGTTCACTTTGTTGATTCCAAAAAGTTGAAAAAATTCAAAATAGTTCTAGTAGCCTGTTACAGAGTAGAAATTTGTCCAGTTTTAGATAAGACATCTTTAGGAATAGTTTACAATTAATAAACTAGATCTGCTAATCCACAGTAGAAAAACTTGAACAGCTAATCCATATAGAAAAAACTTGAACAGCTAAATCCAGATAGAAAAAACACACATTTGTAGGTGTAACAGTAATCTGTTACAGAAGATAATAATCCGACATTGGTAAGACAATGTCGAAAATAATGTGATAATAATTATCACGTTGATTACTTGACTTGACTGTAGATAACTATTAATAATTTCATGTACTTGCATGATATATCAGCGTTGATCACTGGCATACAGTGGAAGACCACTTCAGAAACGTTGAAAACTGCTTACAATAATAATGTGACAATTCTTTGATCACTTGTGGTAACACTGTAACTTCGTTGAAGATTTCTGACTTCAATCTAATCCATCAATGTAACAACATCAGTGTAACAACTTGAGTATACGTCCACTTCAGCCAACAAAGTAACAAATGTTGACCATCTCTGACAATAATGTATCAGCTTCTTCAATCACCTGACTCCAATGTATCAACACGTCTGATAATAATGTAGAAACACTTCTTCAATTGCTTCTGACAATGTAACAGTAGTAGTAGACGCTCACAATGTAGCAACTGTTGTTGCCCCCACTTCTGACACCATATGTAACAACATGAATTCTTTGTTGTTGTGGGTTAGTTTTCACACAGGAATACAAGCAATAGTGGCAACTTCAAATGATGACTTTATTTACACTATATACAGTGAGAATGATAAATCCATAGTTATTCATGGTAAATCCATATTAGAAGATACTCAACAAGTACAGTCACAGTCACGACTCCAAGTCATGGAGACATCTTACATTCACTGCCACAGTTCAAGTCCCAAGTCCTAGCACACAACACCCGTTCACCTTTTGCTCTTCCTTTTATACGGTCCATTCTCTCCCCTTACGTACATGAGCGATCTCACCCAAAACATGAAAAAACACATGACGATCGCTCAGACAGTCCTTCCGCTAGCCAGGTACTCTTCATTCATGCAAAACACAATATAATAAAGATACATAATAATACAGTCTGTGACATCTACTCTTGGCCATAAGCTCTTGTCATTCGTCGAAAGTGCTGACTAATTTATCTCTCCCATCATTTGATGGACCTTTAGGCGTTTAGGTTTATGTTTGCGTTTGTGTTTTCTTTTATGTTTGTGTTTGCTTTTTATTTGTGTTTTTTTTTCTTTGTGTTAGGCTTTGTGTTTATGTTAGTGCTTGGGTTTGTGTTTGTGTTTCGTTATGTTTGTGTTTTTGTGTGTTTTGGTTTTGGTTGGTTGTGGTTAGGGTTAATTCTAAAAGTAATATCCTAAATCCGGGCAATGCCGGGTATATATTGCTTTTGTGTCTATGTTTATGTTTGCGTTTGCTTTTGTATTTGCTTTTGTGTTTGCGTTACGATTATGTTGTGTTTTCTTTTTTTTTTTTCGTCAGTGTTTGAGTTTGCGTTTATGCCCAAGGTTCGAAAGTTGTTTTTTCTGTTGGCATTAATAGGACGGACACACCTTCAAAAAGTCACTTTCAAACACTTTACATACAAACATAGTTCCTTATGTCCCGGACACGGAACGGTAAAGTATTGCTATACTTTATGTTTGAGGTAATGTTTTACATATACCAGGGGTCGGCAACCTTTTGAAGCGGAAGAGCCAAAAGTTACAATTTTCAAAATGTCCCTGGTTTTAAAGAGCCACTAACATTTATTTTAT